GTTCGCGGGGCCCGGTTCTGGAGGCCGCGGGAGGAGGGCGTGTGTCCAGAGGCGGTGGGAGAGGGAGGGCGCTGCGGCCGGAGGGGGGCGCGAGCGCGTCGGTGGAGGCCGGGTGGTCCGGGAAGACGGGCGCCCCTGCCTGGGCTGACTCGGTTACCGCCCCGCCTCTTGGTTCTCCTTGTATCCTTCCTGGAGTCTGAGCGGCTCTCCAGTGGGGTCCGTGACTGCTTCTTGAGGTGTGGTGTTACTCAGTCCGGCATTAGGGAAGGATCTCCAAGAATCCCTTACTTTTTGTCTCATTGAATAGAAACATTTTTTTGTTTGTTTGTTTGTTTGTTTTTCTTCTCGAAGGTTACTGACTTATTCAGAATCACAGTTTGTTAGTGGCGAAGACTGGAAGTTGTGTCTCCCGACCCCAGAGAGACTGCCTGCTTTTCCACACGAGGAAAGGCAAATTACTTTTAAAAAGATCCTTTTGAGAAACGGCAACCAGGATCAAGAAATGAAAACATAGACCTTTCATTAAAGCATTGCTTTTTATCGTTTTCTGTGTAATCAGTAATCAAAGGTTTAGTAACAGTGGGGAAATTGATAAACAGTTTAATCAGGAGTATTTTTTTAAGTTTACTTATTTTGGGGAGAGAGGGAGAAAGAGAGAGAACCCTGAAGAAGCAGAGAAAGAAGGAGAGAGAATCCCAAGCCGGTTCAACACTGTCAACGCAGAGCCTGATGTGGGGCTCGCTCCATCCCGCCATCCCTGAGATCTTGACCTGAACAAGAATGCAGGCTTAAGTGACTGAGCCACCCAGGTGCCCCAGGTTGGGAGTATTTTTTGTAGCAGTTTTGGTGAAGACTTAATGTTACTTCACTGAGTATAATGTTTTATTTAAACCTACTTTTTAATTTAAAAATTTTTTTGTGAACATCAAGAGAGCTTTAAACTGTTAAAAATCCCCAGGAAGCAAATATTTAGGGTTTTCCCAGTGAAAACTTTTATGCCCAGCAGCCATTACATGATTATGTCAGAGTCCTATTAGATAGTTGTTCTTTGAGCATCTGCTGTCCTTTCTGAAGGTGAAAGGCACTGACGCTCTTCGTATCTATTGGGTTGTATAGTTTCATAGGGCAGGAGCATTCAGGAGCCACCAGGCAGGCCAGCTCTTTTAGGACCTCATTTCTCCTGTAACTCAGCACGTCACCAGAGTTGTCTACACTTTTCCAAGACAGCAGAAAATGAACAAATCCCAGGTAAGTTCTTCATTCCCCACATTATTTTGCAGTGGACTTGGTGAGATTTGTGAGTCCCATACTAATGGGAAATTAGCAATAGACAGAAATCTATCTTTACAGAAAGTAGTGACAGATCAATAGCAAGACTAAAGTGGCTTCTAGATACATACTGATCATTCTATATCTTAGAGTTTCTAAACTGACCTACAAATAACATCTCTGTTGTTTCTGATAATCATGGAGAAGGAGGACACCGTCTTTTGGATACAGACAGAATTTTTATAAGACACAAAGACTTCTTGGATGATATCTTTTTTATCTTTTAACCTTCCTGTGACAGCCCTGAAATGAGTGCCTAAAACTATTCCTCACTGAAAGTAAAAGGATTCAAGAGCTAGTTCAAGTAGTTAATTTAATGATGGTCTTGTTCGATCCTTGTATAAAACCTGATATGTTTAGGGTCGCCTAGGTGGCTCAGTAGGTTGAGCTTTTGAGTTTGGCTCAGGTCAGTATCTCACACTCCGTGAGTTTGAGCCCCGTGTCAGGCTCTGTGTTGACAGCTCAGAGCCTAGAGCCTGCTTCAGATTCTGTGTCTCCTTCTCTCTCTGCCTCTCTCTCACTCACACTCTGTCTCTTGCTCTCTCAAAAATATATAAACATTAAAAAGAAAAACCCTGATACGTTTAGAGGAATGAATATGGCCTGCATGCTGGTTAACAAGAACTTTCCATGAGTACTTTAACCAGGTTGTGTATGCGAGTTGTATAGCCTATCATTTAAAGTTAAATTCTCCAGTAAGTCTGTCTGAGCTTCTCCATCAAATTCATCCCATAGCTTTCTGCCTTGGTTTTTCTTCTTCACTGTTTGGGATCTGTCCAGGTAAAGGTTGCCAATGATTCAATTGTATTTACTGACCACTCTTTCCAGGAGACTCTTTGTCTCTTTTGATGGATACTGGAAAAATGGTTGAATAATACTGTTTATTGTTTTGAGTACTTCTAAAAATATGTAAATTATCTTAATGTGTAATTGACAGGCATTTTCTCTTCTTAGTTCACTAGTAATTTGAGATCTATCCATCCATATGTAGCTTATTTCCTTTTTTTTTTTTTTTTTTAATTAGAATCTTAATCAGGCTGCGGACTCAGTGCAGAGGTCAGTCTCACGACAGTGAGATCATGACCTGAGCCAAAATCAAGAGTCACGTGCTTTACCACCTAGACACCCCTGTAGTTTGTGTCTTTTAATGTTGGATTTTCCCGCTGTGTGGCCACACTGTATTCTAAATACTATATTTTACTGATAGACATGTAGGTAATTTGCATGTTTCATTAATATAACAGCTGCTGTGAATATCCTTGTCATTCTCTATGGTAAATGCAGATGTATCTCCAGACCCTGGAGCATTGCTTCTCAGAGTGAGGATCTTTGGCCAGAAATGGCAGCGTCACCTCGAAACTTGTTTGACATGCAGATTGTGACCCACCATCCCAAACCTACTGGAAGAGAACTTTTGGAGGCCAGGCCCAGCAATCTGTGTTCTTACAGGATGTCCGTGTGATGGTTGATAACACATTAAGTTTAAGAATCACTGGTCCAGTGTTCAGTGATTAGTATCTTTGAGTTACAGGATATTAGGATTTCTCATTTTTCTAGGTAAATTGTTACTCATCAGAAAACTGTGTCTTCTCCAGATACAGAAGTTATTCCTACTTCAAATGGTTACAGACTTCACTGTTTAATTTGTATGTGTCTGATTATTGAGTTTGTGCAAATTTCATAAATTTACGGTGTATAAGTGTTCAGCAATTTCAAGAGTGGGTGGAATTCTTGCACACCCATTGTTAGAATTATTTCTTTGTATTCAGTGGTTTTTTAAAAATATACATGTATCTCCCCCCACCCAAGAGAGGTAGCGTGAGCTCAGGAGAGGGGTAGAGGGAGATGGATGGAGAGAATCTTAAGCCGACTCCACACTCAGGGTAGAGCCCGACATGAGCCTGGATCCCACGTCCCTGGGGTCAGGACCACAGCAGAAATCAAGAGTCTGATGTTCAACTGAGCCACCCTGTATTATGTATTAATATTTAAATATATTTTTATTTGCACTTTTTTAACTGCTTGTTGCTGGCATGTTATTTTTTATATATTGACCTTATTTCCAACAATTTTCTACACTAATTTACTACATCTAATTGTTTATCTGTATTTCCTAAAAAATTGGATTTTTTATGTATACACATGTATAATCTGGGAATAGTGACACTGCCATATACTTTTCCCAGATTTTGTACTTTTTTTTCTATATTGCCCTCTTAGGTCCTCAAATATATAATATTAAGTAGAAGCAAGAGTAGGGGGGAAACTTTCCTTTCAGTATGGATTTTTGCTGTATTTGTTTACATTTCATAATGGCATCAAGGATGTCCAGTTTTATTCCTAGTTACCTAAAATTTTTCTTTTTTTTGATGAGTGCCAATTAAATTTAAAAAAAAATTTTAATGTTTATTTTTGAGAGAGAAAGAAAGAATACCAGCAGGGAAGGAGCAGAGAGAGAGGGAGACAGAGAATTCAAAGCAGGCTCCAGGCTCTGAGCTGTTAGCACAGAGCCCAACTTGGGGCTCGAACCCACGAACTGTGAGATCATGACCTGAGCCGAAGCTGGACCCTTAACTGACTGAGCCAACCAAGCACCTCAATGAGTGCCAATTAAATTATTTAAAATGGTTTTGGACATCTATTGAAATCGTCATATGATTTGTCTCCTTCATTTTCTTAGTAAATTACATCAAATCTTATGCAATTAAATTTAATGTAAAATTAATTACAACAAATTTAAATGTAAAACTAACAAGATATGTCTGAAATAAACCTAACTGGGTCATGGCAATATTTTGTTTTAGAATTATGTATCTGTGTCCATGAGAGACATTGAGCAATGAGGTATTTTTTCCTGGTGGGGGACATGTTCTTGTTAGGATTTAGTATTTAGTGTCAAAGATATGTTGAATTCATAACAAGAATTCTTGAGTATTTCCTCCTGCTTTCTCCCCAAGATTGTGTTTTATTTTGTTTCTGCTTCTTTCTTAGGTATTCATTCATAGGTAAGGACATCTTTACCTGGAATTAGTTTGTTTCCCTCCCTTCCTTTCTTTCTTCATTGTTAAGTAGGCTCTGCGCCCAGTGTGGGGATCGATCTCATGACCCTGGCTTACAACATCCCATTTTTTTCCTCTTTCTCCCAGCCTCTGGCAGTCCCCATTTTATACTCTGTTTCTATGAAATTGGCTTTATGGTGAGTTATAGTGTATGATATTTGTTTTCTCTCTGACTTACTTCATTTAGCATAATGCCCTCAAGGTCTGTCCATATTGTCTCAAGTGGCAGGATTTCCTTTGTTTTTATGGTTGAATAGTATTCCATTGTGTGTGTGTGTGTGTGTGTGTGTGTGTGTGTGTGTGTGTGCGCGTGTTTATATATATATTGTATATGCATGTATGTATACACGCATTATCTTTACCCCATTCCTCTGTTGATGAACTCTAAGCCTCATGCCTCATCTACTATCAATAATGTTGCAGTGAACAGGGGATTACAGGTGTCTTTTGCAGTTTTGATTGCATTTCTTTTGGATTTTTGCCTAGAATTGGATTGCTAGATCATCTGGTAGTTCCATTTTTAATTTTTTGAGGGACCGCCATAGTGTTTTCCAAGGTGGCAACACCAGTTTACATTCTCACCAACAGTGAATGTGGGTTCCCTTCATGCCACAGTCTTGCCATTTGTCATTTCTTGTCTTTTTGATAATAGCCATTCTGAGAGGTGTGAAAGAGATATCTCATTGTGGTTTTGATTTGCATTTCCTTGATGGTTCATGATATTGAGCACCTTTGCATGTACATATTGGCCGTTTGTAGGTCTTTGGAAAAATGTCTGTTAGGTCCTTTGCTCATTTTAATTGGATTATTTGCTTTTTGGTTTTTGAGTTGTATGAGTTATTTATACATTTTGGATATTAATGTCTTATCAGATACATGATTTGCGAATATCTTTTCCCATTCTGTAGGTTACTTTCCAGTTCATGGACTGTTTGCTGGGCAGAGCTCTTAAGTTCGATAAAGTCTTGTTTGAGCTTTTGTTGCCTTGCTTTTGGCATCTTATCCAAAGAAAACATCATCCTAGAGAACAATGTTGAGCTTCTCCCCTATGTTTTCTTCTAGGAATTGTATGGTATCAGTTCTTATGTTTAAGTCTGATTCATTTCAAGTTAATTTGTATGAGTGGTGTAAGATAGGGGTATAGTTTCATTCTTTTGCGTGTTGGTATCCCGTTTTCCTGTCACCATTTACCAAAGAGACTATCCTTTCCCCATTGTGTGTTTTTGCAACCCTGTCAAAAATCAGTCGACCATATATGCGTGGGTTTATTGGGGGGTT